TTCACATTCTTTACAATTGAATTGAAAACCCGATATTGCGTTAATATTGCACTGTACAGTAGAATTCAATACTGCCCTGGAATAGGCTGTTTTTCAGCCTATTTGTCCTTGCTTTTATTATCCTGTACCATCTGTCAGATGGTAATAGTTTTTTTAAAAAAGGTGCCCAGGATGAGATGGATCTTTGAGAATGTTTTGAACTTTCTTAAGGCAGTAGGAGCTATAAAGCTCTTCCAAAGAGGGGAGAGGGCAACCATTGATCTTCTGGGCAATGACATTAACCCTCTGGAGTGCTTTCCTATCTGCCACTGTACAATTGGCAAACAATACAGAGGTGCAGTAAGCTAAAATCGCCAGCAGTTTTTCATTCAGTTGTTGTTTCCTGAGAAGTCTCAGGTAGTATAATCTCTGCTGGGCCCTACTGACCAGTGTTGCAATGTGAGTGTCCCAGGTCAGGTCCTCTTTTTTTTCTACAGATAGTGTATGTCTTCCTTCCTGAAAATACAACCCATTTCCATGTCTTCTTCTAATACCCATGGATAATGAATCTCCAAGCCTTCACACAAATTTGATGAATCAGGCTTGAATAACAAGAAGCAATTTTCTAATTCCCTGAATATATCTACTATCAATTATCTTGAGAACAATGACTCAAGTCTTTCTTCAGAAGTCAGAAAGAAACATCGAAACTCTGCAACATCCTATTTTTATTCAGTTGTGTGTCTCAATGACTTCGTATTTCCCTCTTCTCTGTGTGGGTGTAATGAGGTGAGAATTGGAGGCTTATGTTAGAGATGGACTGAACAGGATGCCTAGAATCACACAACAGCTTCCATTGTTAATCATGGGCATTAGGGCTCAGTTTTCCTAAATCAGTGAATGCCCTGGTCACAGATCAGGTTTAGGCCAGAGCCCCTATCAACAAGTACATTATTACATTTGGCTAAATAGCTACAAGATTACCTTGACACAGATAGATTATATTTAATAGCTTTAATGTGTAGGAATTATGCAACAATAGATATAACTAACAACAGCATATTCCTAAAGTGATTTTTTTCAAGATACATTTACAAAGTGCCAGGATATCATAATGATTAAAGTGTTGGGCTAACAATGGACAGATCCAGATTCAAGCCTACCTCAACTATAGAAATTTACTGGATGCCCTTTGAACTACTCATAGACCATCAGTCAACCTTGGGAGATCTTGAGGAGATAAAGTGAAGTGAGATATTCATATAAGCTGCCTTGAACCCTTGCAGGAGAAATAATGGGATATAAATCTAACAAAAAAAATGCATAAATAAGAAGCTGCCTTATTAATTATTATTAGTCTATGTAACTCAGAACTGCCTACTTTGCTTAATAAAAGTTCTCCAATTTATCTCAGAAATCTATTTACTAAGGCATCAGGGAAATAAAGATTTTTGAATCTGTGATCTTTTGAATGAAAATCACTTTTAGCCTTCTGCTGGAAAATGCCAATTCACCAGTTTTGTTGAATAGAATCACTCCAAGATTTGTCTAGAAAGATCTCTGGGTGGTAAACTTGGTGGCGTGTCACACAAGGTGGTTTTTCAAGAACTTAACTTCAGTTATTAGCTTCTAAATGAGAACTGTTGGTACTTTCCTTTTTAAGTGCAATGGAGAATAAATGTTTAAAAATGGCAGACTCCTCTTTTTGAGGAGCAGAGGAAGTCCTTTGCTTTCTAGATCATTTTTTGAAGCAGAGGAAGTCCTTTGTTTTCTAGATCATTTTAGGACTCCGTCTCTTGGCTCAAAAAAGCAATGCGGAAACCTCAGATGTCATGAGGTCAACTCAAATTAGGAACTGTATTCCTTTGTGAGACATGGAGCTGCCTTGAATATTTGAAATGACATTCGCATGATTACTCACATGATCATTTTTCGGAGGAGGGGATATGGGTTAAAGGAAGATGGCTAGAATTTACTGATTCAGGAACAAGTCATGTGACCTTCTAACAGAGTGTAGTACCCTGAACCACCCCTCTCACTACAAAGCATTGAAAAATAGGTCAGTGAGATGATGTAACAGGGATGAGTTAATGAAGAAACTAAACAGAATCTGAGCACTTGTTGAAGCTGTCATTCAGTGGTCACCAGATGTCTTTCATTAGCTTATGTGTAAATGCTGTCAGATATCAGGCCATTGGCCCAGAGAAGTAAAAGTTTTCCCATGATTTTCTACAATGGAAAGGAGAAGTAGTTATGTCCCTGGAGAGTGATAATAATACATGAATTTAATTTAACTAAATTTAAATCAAATCAAATCCCCCCCCCCCCCCCCGATCTTACTCATATCTTTGTTTTGGTCTTTACTATATTTTTGGAATGTGGTCCCCAGCATATCATTCAATAGTCAAATGCATACTCTTAGTTTGAAAAAATGAATTATATTGGTGCAGGTCCTTCCATTAGGTAGAATTATTTCTACTGAATATTGATGGAAAGAACAGAGAAACTGAGATATAGTGGAATAGAATATCCACACTGCTGACTTTGCATACTCCAAACTACATTTCTCCCTTCAGATGCAATAGAACAGTGGTTGCGAACCGGTGGGCCACAGCCCACTGGTGGGCCGTGAGAAAATTTTGGTGGGCCGCAGAGAAATATCCCCCAAAGCACCCGTCCAAAGCCCACACACCCACTGGCCCCCACCCTTCGGCCGAGCGCAAACCTGCAAAAATCTGCGCAGCCCTCACTGGGCAGGATGTGGTAATGGTGCTGTTGCAGCAAGAAGGGGCTGGCGGCAGAGGCAGGCTGAAGCGGCAATGGAGATGGCCAGAAGGTGCAGGAACGCCACGCTACTTGCATTTGCACGGCACTCCCACACCTTCCAGTTTGCCTCTCCTGGCCTGGGCTTTTTCTCGATGGCTATGGGCTGTAGGGATGGCCCAGGGCAGGAAAAGTACTGTCTGGTGGTGGCAGGAGGGGGAGGAGTGGGCAAGTCTGTGCTCACCATCCAGTTCTGAGGTCCAGAATGGGGCATCGGCATCAGTTTCTTCGTCCCTCTTGGTGCTCTGCTCCGCTGCCCCCCCCCCCCCCCCCCCCCCTCCAGGGGAAAGCACAGGAAAAGCAAGCAGAAACATAGCTCTTGCTGGGGCGAAAGAGCTGAGATCGAAGAAGGCATAGTCAAGAGAAAACAGAAGCTACTGCCTTTGAAAAGCGCCGCTTTCTGTTGCCTGCGCCTTCTGATCTCTGCTCTTTCGCCCCAGTGAGAGCTGTTTCTGCTTTCTTTCTTTTCCTGGCAGGGGCAGCAGAGGTGTCAGGACTGCTCTTCCCTCTAAGCAAGCCAGGCCTGGAGGAACGTGAAGAACTGCGAGCGAGCTCCGGAGAAAGGCGTGTTGAAACACACGTTTCCAGCACGCTCTCCTCTGTCCCAAAGTAAGATTGAGTCGGGGGAAGGGTAGGAGGGAAGGAGAAGTCCAGCTGGCTTTCCTTTGGCATGGGGTGGAGCGGGAGAGACCAAGTGCCCAGACCAAAAGAGTGCCAAGGAAGACAGGCTCCTAATAACCAGCCTGTTTGTGCAGGTGAGAGCTCCAGCTTTTCTGGACTCGACACCCCCCCCCCCTTCAGCCTCCACACAGGGTGGGATCCTTCTCTACTTGGAAGTGACAGGAGAAACCTGGAGCTTAGCCTCGGGGAGTCCTCTTCTTATATGGTGGCTGAAGGGGGAGGTGTTGCCTGGTTATTAGGAGCCTGTCTTCGTCGGCAATTCCAGCCCAGCCCTCCTACCCTCCCGCAGCTCCAGGCAGCCACACCTGGCAAAGGAGGGAGAGGTTTCCTCTGACTTGGGGCAGATATGACTTGGCTCTGTTTTTCTTCCATTTGAGGGGGAGCTGGTTCCTCCCCGTCCAGATCTTCCCAGCCTCCAGGCACCAAGTGGCTTTTTAAATCTTCCCTCTTCCTCCCCAAAGGATGATAGAGGCCCCTCCTTTCCCTTCGCTCTGCCCCACAGTTATGTTTAAGCATTTATGATTTTGTTATAATTAAATAAGCATTTGTGTGTGTGTGTGTGTGTGTGTATTATTTTTAATATTAACTTTATATTTAATATAAAAATAAAATTTTAATATTAAATATATGATTTTTTTTTAAAAAAAATTGTATTAGTGGTCCTCGGGATTTAAAATTATGAGTTTGGTGGTCCCCGAGGTCGTAAAGGTTGGCGACCCCTGCAATAGAACATATTCCACCAGTAATATAAAAGTGAATTTCCACATCCAGTTCAATCAGAACATCAATGAACATCATCTTCTCCTTTGACCAAAAATATTCAGCTTGTTCTGAACAAACAACTCATTCCTGAATTCTGCTAACTATGAAGATGTTGTGCTAACTATTTTAGCCCAAGTGACTGGCACAATAGAAGGACTTGAGATAAAGCAGGAAATGCTTGATTTGGCTCACAACTCTCCAGCATATTAGTGACCTGATACTCAGGCTATTTATGAACAGCATCTAGCATCCTTGGGCATTAAAACCATGTCCAAAAATAGTCTAGTCAATAGGTTGGTAGAGTAAAGAATAAAGTACAATATGAAATGGGAGGAAGATTGTGGGAAGTGTCAGGCGATCTCAATGGTCCACACATATACATAGGTCTTATGGTAGGTCACAAGCAGAATAGGGCTCACCCTGGCCAACTCTCCCCAGCCAACTCACCAAAGGACAACTGGCCACAGGATAACTCACCATAGAACAATTCAACACGGAACAACTCAAGAGAGGAACAAGTGAATTGCAGCAGGTCTTGTCTTGCTTTAGGTTTGAACGTTTTCAGATTAGAAGTCCTCAAAGCTGGGATGAACTGCAATTCTATGTGTCCCTCTCTTGAGTTATCCCACAATGAATTGTCCTGCAGCAAGTTGCCTTGTCATGAGTTGGCTGCTGTGAGTTATTCCACGGCAAGATGTCCCATTCCACTCAGTCATTGGGCAGTGCAATAGCAATAACACTTAGACTTGTATACCGCTTCACATTGTTTTACAGCCCTCTCTAAGGGGTTTGCAGTATCAGCCTATAGCCCCAACAATCTGGGTCCTCATTTTTCTGAGCTCGGAAGGATGGAAGGTTTAGTCAACCTTGGGCTGGTGAGGATCGAACCCCTCTAAGTCAGCAGAATTAACCTGATATACTGCATTCTAACCACTGCACCACCACGGTTCCAGTGCAATTTATGTCCTCATAGTTTTCTGCTGATTTAGGAACTGAAGAAATGCACAATTGTTTTGACTCGGGTGGTGGGGGGGAACCTTAACAATGAGTGTAGTTACAGTTTCCTACTAACCTGTATTTTCCTATTCTATTAACATATCCTATTTCTTATCCATGGCACCCACAGACAAGATGCAAACACTTATGAAGTTCTACTGGCTTTCTTTTCAAGGTCTCTGAGAAGGCAGCTGCCACCCACCATGTCTCCTTGCTTACTGCAGCATTCCAAATACTTACACCTCACTTAATACAGTAACAAAGTCAGCTTGGCTGCCATACAACCTAGAATGTGCTGTTACAGCTGTGAAGTAGCTAACTTGGGCAGCCATATATCATGAATGCTTTGTTTGAGGCGTTCCTAGAATAGCTTTTCTGCCATGAGGCCCTTAACTGACAGGCTTCTAAAGATGCAAGACAAATAACTATTTTGGCTAGAATTCCAACTAATGTAGTAATGTTTGGTTTGGTTTTAAAGAGGAGAAGGACTATAAATATAATATATTTATATATAAATATAAATATATAGGGTTAGGATGTAAAATTATTTCCATAATCATTCACCTAAGCAGCTGAATATTTAGCTGGGTCCACTTGAGTCATTCTGGAAATGCAGATAGTCAAATTAGCTGTGTGTCAATTTGCAACTGGACCAAAACAGGATAATTTGTAGCTATTAAAAAGGACTAGGCAAAAGGAGAAAAGTTTGGAAACAGACTAGAGAGAAGCATATGGTAAAAGCTGGGCACATGTCCACTGTTGCAAACTTGCACTCTTCTGAGACTATATGTAAACGAAAATCACAGAGGAAAGGTACGTTAGGGAGTGGGTGGGTGGAAGGTATTAACCAATAAACTTCTTCTTTTAAAGCTAGCAAGCGGCTGTTTGTAGCAGACTTCCTTTATGTCCTGTTTTCTTGCCAAGGTTTATTTCGTAGTGGATAGACTGGTTCAAATAAGAGTGAAAGAATGCTTGACTCTCTGGCATGGCTTTCTTCCTGAATGCACTGAGTCTGTCCCAGTGGTGGGCTGCACTTTCATTCACAACTGGTTCGCTGGTTGTGAGCGCATGCGCACGCCCTTTTGGGAGTGAAACAGAGCTTCAAAATACAGCTAATCAACTCAGGCAGCTCCAGTGAGTACAGCAGGGGCGTCGTGGAACTCAGCTGGGCAGCAGGGGCAGGGGGAATGAGCCATCAAGTTAGCTATATATGGAAAGAATATTACAAGGGTGGGTGGGCGGTCCCGGCCAGTGATCACAGCTAAGAGTTCACCCAAACCTGCGCGACCACGCAGCAGCCCAGCACTGGTCCGTCCCATTTAGATTGAAGCATAAGAAGATACAGGTAACATCTTCAACCTATGATCACGACTGAGCCCAAAATTTAGGTTGCTAAGTGAAAAATTTGTTAAGCGAGTTGTGCCCCATTTTACGACTTCCCTTGCCACATTTGTTAAGTGAATCCCTGTAGTTGTTCAATTAATCACAGGTGGATCTGGTTTCCCCATTGTCTTTGCTTGTCAGAAGGTTGCCAAAGGTGATCACATGACCCCGGGGCAGTGGGACACTAGTGGTAGAGACACATCATCAATGTGAGTCAGTTGCCAAGCATCTGAATGTAAATCATGTGACCCTGGGGATGCTGTAATGATCCTAAGGGTGAAAAATGGTCATAAGTCACTGTTTTCAGTACCGTCGTAACTTAGAACAGTCACTAAGCAACCTGTTGTAACTTGAGAACTATCTATATTTGCTGAAGCAGACAATAAGTCCAACCTGCCCAAGGCTCAGTTTTCAATAGTATGTCTTTCTAAAGTCTACAGACAGGACGTGGTATCTCACAGGAGCAAGCCATTCACCCAAATAGGAATCTGTTTATGCTGCATATTACAATTTCAGATAGAAGTGAGACACAGCATTCACTGATGGCACGTTTGGTCTGTCGCCAGAGTCTGTCCTTTCATTCTTTTCCTCATCTGTGTAACTAAAGATTGCCAGGCCTTCTTCCAGACACATTAATGGCAATAGTTATGATGTTCCTCATTAATCCCTTCCCACTCTTTTTCAGGTAGGGCCTAACCAAACTAAGCAATGGCTTAAGTTAGACCATTTATCTCTTGAGACCGACAGCTTAATTAACTTTGCTTTCGGTTATTTTATTATTGGTGGCTGAATTATACCAAGTGACCTTGTGTAAACAATAAAGTGGAACACAGGGCTGAGAGGGAACAGAGAACAGTACAATAAAAAGTAAACAAGGAAAGTTACACTAACCTTTTGCTGGGCTGGAATGAAAGCTTATAAGCAACTGCTCTTTCCTAAAGCTAACTTTCTCTGAAAATTGAGAAGCAATGGATAACTGTTTTCTGCACAACTTAAAAAATTGTGATGTCTAATGTCTACTCTTTCCCCCTATTTATTTATGGCTTTACCAGGTTACATGAATCCCTGTATCTCTCACTGTACAAATTCTATGTAATATACATTTTTGAAATCGTTAGAAATTTTGAAGTCTTCTATTTCCACAGTTTGAGAGTACTAAACCAGGAAGGACCAGAACTAGTATAGCACTGAATTATACAGTTATTACACTTAGAAGATACCATATGGACATCTGACACCTACCTGGACCTTCCATTAGTGTTATCTAGTCACTTCAATACTTCTATGCCTTTTCTTCTTGGTTTTTTTTAATCTTTAAACCAAACAGGCACTGAACAACCCTTCAGATTGAGGATATCTTCAACTAGTGGATCATAAGAGCCATGGTAGTGCAGTGGTTAGAATTCAGTACTGCAGGCTACTTCTGCTGACTGCTGGCTGCCAGCAGTTCGGCAGTTTGATTGTCACCGGGTCAAGGTTGACTCAGCCTTCCAAGTTTGGTAAAAAGAGGACCCAGATTGCTGGGAACAATATGCTAACTTTGTAAACCGCTTAGAGAGGGCTGTAAAGCACTGTGAAGCAGTATATAAATCTAAGCTATTGCTATCCTCCGGTGAATCTTTAACTTGAGAGCTTTCCATGGCTACCTGACCCACATAGTTTTTACAAAGAGACAGAAACATTTCAAGTTTCTCTTGTCTAAACACCTCTAAATCAAAATCATTTAAAGTCAGCATGAAGAACCTAGCTAGCTGATCTTGAAAAAGATAAACAGACTGTGTGTGGTTAGTTCTCAGATTGGAGATAATAATAAAATCCCAATGTTGTAAAATGGAGTTAAAAGTTTTAACAAATACCCATGAAGTAGACAGTGGCACACCACATGCTTATTGTTGCCAAGAAAGTTACACTGATGGATACATGTTGTCAAGCTTGATGGAAGTTTTCCTATAATATAGAATCAAGTTGTGTTGTTTTTTTTAGAAATATCAAACTGAAAGCAAAGCCAGAATTTAACAGATTTTGCTCAAAATACAGCTAACCGTAAAAGTTATCCAAATTTATTTGCTGCAAAAGAACACTTGCAAGTTTACTTTGCAAGCTATGCTCCACTCTCTCTGCTGTTGTTCAGCTTTTTATGTAAGTTTTTGCCATTTGCTTCTATCCTTCAAGGTCAGCTTTGCAGTTAGAGACTAACTAGCCTGGAGGAACATAGATAACTGCGTGGGTACTAATACCAGAAAGGAGAGTTGGGCAAACAACATAGAACAATGGTCCCTTTGTTTGCTTGGCAATGGTTCATGAATAGGTAACAGTTCTAGTGTTTGAAATCTATTGAATAACTTCTGCAAACAATTATTAATCCATTATTGTTTCTGTGAGTCTCACTAGACTTGTTTGTCTTTTAATATTGAAGATGATCAGGTGCTTCATTTTTAACAAGAAATCGTATATATAGCTCTGTTGTTATATTAAACAGTATATGAGAATTAACATTTGGATGGTTGTAATAGAATAAGTCAGGATTGAACCAAGGTTGCTTTTTTAGCTGAAGGGCCTGATTAGGATGGGAGTTGCATTTGCAATATTCCCTGCCAGATACCTTCAAAAAGGATGGACATGTATAATCATTAGCTCCCAGGACTCTTGAAGGCTTGCATTTGCATCCTAGTTTCTTCTTCTAAGATTTCCTTTGAAGATCAAATACCTGTTGCAATGCCCCAGAAGCTGACTTAGTGATAGTATCTTTACACTTTAAAGCTGGGTTCCCCAACCCTCAGGCTGCGGACTGACCCGGTCCATGGCCCACCAGGAACCAGGCCACACAAGTGAGCAAAGTCCCATTTGTGCACATGCAGGATCCAGGCATCACATGAAACCACATCCCCAGTCCATGGAAAAACTGCCCTCCACGCCTTCAATCCCTGGTGCCCAAAAGGTTGCTCTTTAAAAGATGGAGAGCAATCCCAAGTCCTTACAGTTGTGCACCATTTTTAATATCAGAGATGGAGGGGATGAAATAGCAACCATTATTCTAACTCAACCCTTCATTATTTTCTTACAGTATTAAAAGCTGTGGTGGCGCAGTGGTTAGACTGCAATACTGCAGACTATGTCTGCTGCCTGCAGGTTGCTAGCAGTTTGGCAGTTCAAGTCTCACCGGCTCAAGGTTGACTCAGCCTTCCATCCTTCTGGGGTTGGTAAAATGAGAACCCAGATTGTTGGGGGCAATATGCTGACTCTGTAAACTGCTTAGAGAGAGCTGGAAAGCATTGTATATAAGTCTAAGTGGTACATCTAAGTGACATTGCTAGTATGTGCCTGTTGTGTTAGTCCTTATATGTCCATGGTTAAAAATGGGCTTTTCTAATCACACAAGAAACTTACTTTCTTTCAGAAACAATTTTCAACACATTTTAGAATGTGAGGAAATGGACAAACACACCCTAGAGTTAAAAGGTAAAGAAGATTCGGAATATTATGCGGTATGGGAAAATTGGTATGAATTGATGGACAATAGGAGTAAGAATTGTAGAGATAAGAAGAAGATATAGAAATGTATATAAATAATTAGAAATGTATGGAAATGTGTATTTGCAACAAAGATGCCTCAGTAGTGTTAAAGATGATTGAGATGTGTAAAAAGAAAAAAGTGCAATAAAAAAAGAAAAGAAAAAAAGAAACAACGAATAATTTGGGGAATGGGTGCCTGCAGGAACAATTATTTGTTTTACACGTGATCTTTCCTCCAGGAATTCAGGTAACGTACATAGCATCCCGTCTTCCAATTTCACACACACACACACCAAAACTACTGAGGAACGAGATGGGCTGAAGGAGTTTGAGTCATAAGTGAACTTCCATGGCTGAGGGCACACTTCTCCTTGATTCTGTATGGTTCTAGTCTATGACTTCAACTATCAAATTACGAATCTATTTTTCCTCCCCTCCCTATACTAGGTGTGCACAGATTTCACACATCTAAAAAAAAATTGAGAGGTCTCTCTTTAATTTTTAGTTGAATGAGATGAAAACTTCCTTTGATGATCCTATTAAAGCTGAGGTATATAACCCCTGGCCATGGCGTTGGGTTGTGTACAACCTCCACAATCATTCGAGTGTAGTCTAGTGTCCCTCCAAATTAATGTACTAGTAACTACATGGAGACTAATATTATCAGCAATATTTCACTTATTTTTCAGGACCTGAAAATATAAATTAGACTGTACAGATGTATATGTGGTTACTCAATTTCTTAAGGAAGTAGTAGAAAGTATGACTGAAGGACATACCATAAATATTTTGCATCAGATTTAAATTTCGAAGTTAGCACAGATTAAACAAAATGTGCACAATTATATAGGCCATGAATAACATAGATGAATGGCTTTAGGCCTCAGTCCTGTGATCAGACACCATGAAGCCACACAAGGAAGAAAGTGTATGTGCCTTTCGTTCCAGTCAGCTGCCTACTCATGTGTGTTTTCATCTTCAGCAAGTAATTATGAGTTTCGATTGAAAAAGAACCAAAGACTGAGAAGGAGCAAGGAATGCTCTTTTTTTAAAAAAACTTTCCTGATGAAAAAGATAGACCTTGTTTTTCCTTTTTAAGAAAAAATCTGTAAAACTGACAACCGTTCTGCCCTTTTAGCCCAGGTGGCTGGAAGAAGAGTAAATAGTTTACTTTTTCCTTCTATTTCTATTGGTCCACTGTTGAACACACCAGGCAAGAAGGTACGAAGTCCAGTATGAGCGGGAAATCACAATAGGACACACATACAGAAGGTCTCCCAGTGCAAATGACATGTTTTCAAAGACCCATCCACAGAAAGGAAAGCAGTTGACATTGTTTGTTTATTTATTTGATTTGATTTGTCAAACACTTACAAGATAATAGGTAGAAGTATAAACATAATTATGAATACATGAAATAAATATATATAAGAAAAATAAAAGAAACAATAGGACAGGGACAGTAGGCACATTGGTGCACTTATGCATGCCCCCTACAGACCTCTTAGGAAAGGGGTGAGGTCACCAGTATACAGTCTAAGGTTAAAGTTTTTGGGGTTTGGGGAAGAAACCACAGAGTCAGGTAGAGTATTCCAGACATTGACCACTCTGTTGCTGAAATCGTATTTCCTGCAATCAAGTTTGGTGTGATTAACTTTGAGTTTGTATTGTGTGCTCTTGTATTGTTATGGTTGAAGCTGAAGTATTCATTGACTGGTAGGACATTGCAATGTATGATTTTATACACTGTACTATACTTAGATTGGACCAAATGCAGCGTAGTTCTAGGTTTTCTAGGTCTAGAATTTCAAGTCTAGTGGCGTAAGGTATTCTGCAACGAATAGAGGAGTAGAGAACTCTTCTTGTGAAATATTTCTAGACTTTCTCAACTGTGTTAATATTAGATATGTAATGCAGGTTCCAGACTCATGAGCTGTATTCAAGTATTGGTCTAGAATGTTTTGTATGCTCTAGTTAGTAGTGTGATATTACCAGAGAAAAAGCTACATAGGATTAGGTTAACAACTCTTAATGCCTTTTTGGCTATGTAGTTACAATGGGCTCTAGCACTTAATTCATTAGAGATGAGTGCTCCAAGGTCCTTGACAGAGTTTGGATCATCAACAAGGTCTTGACTATTCAGCTTGTATTTTATTTTAGGATTTTTTACCAATATGTAAGACAGAGCATTTATTTGTTGAGATTTGAAGTTGCCATTTGTTTGACCATTCTGACACATAGTCGAGGTATTTTTGTAGGGTAGCAGTATTGTCTGTGGTATTGAACAGCTTTACATCATCAGCGAAAAGAACGCAATTGCTCTTAATATGATCACAGAGGTCATTTATGTAGAGTATGAAGAGAGTTGGTCCTAGAACACTGCCTTGGGGGACACCACTATTGACAGGTACAGAATT